TTCTTCTTCTTCTTCTTCTTCTTCTTCTTCTTCTTCTTCTTCTTTCTTCTTCTTCTTCTTCTTTCTTCTTCTTCTTCTTCTTCTTCTTCTTTCTTCTTCTTCTTCTTTTCATGGGAGCCTCCAAATGCTGTTGGTTCTAGTCGGCCATCTTGGCCCTGTCCCCATAACCTAAAATTTCAAACAAAGAAAATCCCAAGACCAGATGGCTTTACAGGTGAACTCTACCAAATATTTAAACAACATTTAAAACAAATCCTTAAACTCTTCCATAAAAATAGAACAAACAACACTTTTTATGGGCTGAATGTTTGTGTTCTTCCCCAAATTCATATATTGAAATCATAACCCCCAGTGTAATGGTGTTAATAGATGGGACCTTTGGAAAGTAATTAGTTCATGGGGTTAGAGCTTCACCAATGGGATTAATACCCTTATAAAAGGGACTCCCATGAGCTCTCTTGTTCTTTCTGCAATGTGAGGATACAACAAGAAGTCAGCAGTTTGCATCCCAAAAGGGGGCCTTCACCAGAATCTGAGCATGGTAGCATTTCTATCTTGGATTTCTAGCCTCCTGAACTGTGAGAAATAAATTTATGTTTTTTATAAGTCAACCAGTCTATGGTCTTTGTTATAATTGCCTGAGCTAAGACAATTCCAAGCCTATCTTATGAGGCCAGCATTGGCCTGGTTCCAAAGTCCGAAAAAGATACTGTTTTAGTCTGTTTAGCGTTGCATCCATGAATACCTGAGGCTGAGTAATTTATAAAGAAAAGAAGTTTGCTTGGCCCAGAGTTCTGTAGGCTGTACAAGAGGCATGGTGCCAGCATCAGCTACTGGTGAGAGCCTCAGGCTGCTTCCACACAAGGCAGAGGATGAAGGAGAGCCGGCATGTACAGAGATCACATGGCAAGAGACGAAGCAAGAAAGAGGGGAAAGTGCCATGCTCTTTTCAACTACCATCTATGGTGGAAACTAATTGAGCAAGAGCTCACTCGCTACTGCAAGAATGGAACCAAGCCATTCCTAAGGATCTGCCCCTATGACCAAACACCTCCCACTAGATCCTACTTCAACACCAGGTTTGGTGGGGCCAAATGCCAAACTATAGCAGATGCTACAACAAAAAATACCATACAGGACAAGATCTTTGATGAACACGGATGCAAAAATCCTCAATAAAATATTAGCAAATCAAATTAAATAGCATATTAGAAGGACCCGAGTTGGATTTCACTCTGGGATACAAGACCAGTTCATTTGCTGATCTATCAATTCAAAAAAAAAAAAAAAAAAAAACCTATTAGAACTAATTAATGAACTCAGTAAAGTAACAGCCTACAAAATCAACATATGAAAATAACTTTCTTTGCTGTGTCAAAAAAAAATATTGTCATTTAACATGTTTTTATTTCAGGTTGACTCTGATTCTTTTTGTTTTGCTGATTTATTTCTTCTTTTTCTTAAATGATTTGTACCTATAAACAAAATTGTAAGATTGTAACTAATAATTAGTAGATTGAAAAAGATAAAGTATATTTTTGACCATTGCATATATTTTTAAATATACTATTATTTCACTTACCTTTTAAAAACCTACGCTATTAGTTATGTCTAACACATACATTTTCTCTTTTTATTGCCTTTTAAAATTCCCATGTCTTTCTTTTATATTTTAGCCTTTTCAAAATAGAAATTATGCCTGGACTTTCTCAGATTCTGTAGAAATATCTGACTCAGACCTTGTGTTCAATAATTGTTTCGTAACTGTTGAATAAATTGAAATCAAATGGTTCAGTATACACATAAAACTATATTGTTATTATCATTCCTAATTATTTCTTTCAGAACATACTTAATCATATCTTTAAAGTTGTTCATGTATTAATTCATTCTATAAATATTTTAATAGTATTTGAATAAGGAATTAATTCTTCTCAATGAATTAATTGACAACAGGACTGACAACAGCTGTCAAGTCCTCTCGGTCTGCATTAGTCTTCCTAAACATGGCTGAGGGCTTTCATTCCTAAATTTTAAGCATATGTCAGATAAATTGGCTGGGACCTGAGATTGTGCTATTACTTGTCTCTATGGTCTTATATGACAAAGTTCAGAACAAGGTAGAAAGTCGTTTTTTATTTTAAAAATACACATTTTGATTTTCAGAGTAGCCTACTTCATTAGGCATAGATATGGGAAGCATCTGTTGTAGAATCTGGAGCCTTGGGTCTCACTTATTTTGCTTCATATGTGAATTCTTGTTTCCTCATCTGCAAAAGTGAATATCCATGCATAGGCAGCACAAGATTGCTATGTTAATTTGTGAAAATAGAAAAACACTACAGAACTATGAAATGCCACTGATCTAGAGGTCCAGCTGTTTGTTTTTGTAAACAAAATTTTATTGGATTACAAGCACACTCATTGATTTATATCCTTTCCATGATAGCCTTCAGGCATGGAACTAGGTAGTTGTAAAGACCTCTGGCCTGCAAAGCCTAAAATACCAACATCTGGTCCTTTAGGAAATAATGTGCTGCCTTTTCCTAATAATATTAATATGAAAAATTACTACTACTATTAATAGCCACAAAAGTCAATTTCTGCAACTGTAATGAAAACATTTGAAATATCCACTAAGTGGTGATAGACTGTTTATTTCTTTAGAAAATGTGTAAAGTTGATTTTGCTAACGATTGATAAAGTCAAACAGCAAGTTTTTCTTTCAATATAATCGGTTTTAAATTTAACTTTGACATCATCGTGTTTGCTTGTTAGGCTTTCAATTTCATGCTCATGTACTTGATGTTTATACTTCAGTGTTTGATACTGATTACAAAGATTAGAAAGCATGCTGACATTAGTGCATAATCAAAAAGTTATTTTAATGTATTTATAATATTCAAATTGTGACACACTGAACAGCGTCCTTTACATATACTTGGCTTAAGCAAAAGACAATTTGTTAGTATTTCCAAGTTTTAAAAGCTCAGAGATGAAAATTAACTGGATTATTTGTTGTAAGGTCATTAGAGAAATCTATTTATCTTACTGAATCTTTGGATTCGATACAATTTGAAACTGGCAATGACCAAGCAAGAAACCATAACAGAAATGATCTATTGGACACCAGTAGTGCTGTACAGTCAACCCTGTCAAAGGAAGAGCCCGAGGAAGTTTTATTGTGTGTAAAATTAGTCATAAAACTGGCAAGTTCCGGAAGTGAAATAGACTTATGGGAGGTCCCAGTGACAGGGAGGAATGCAGGACCGATCACAGCTTGATTTACGTAGTTCTTCACACTGTGTTTGCTACTTGAGAAAATTTATTTTTAAAGGCCTTTCATTTGCTGATATATCAACTGTGATACATCACATTTTTCATTTGTTTCTAAAGAAATCCAAAATAATATTTCCTTTTGGTGAACATATGACAAAAATGATTAACACTAACTACAGCTCATTTGTCTAAATATTTAGAGCTATTATTATAAAACTTAAAAAAAAATAAAACATAATATATAAAACTGATACCCAAATGACATATGACTTGTTACAGGCAGGTTTCTTCCTTTTAGAAGGTTATGTATAAATCATCTTGATGATTTGAGACATCTCAAATTTGTCTCACCTAGAATCTGCATTCAGTGAATGGATCTATTGTATATTGAGTCTGTCTTCATGAACTTGACATATTGGTAGCCATCAGAAAAAAAAATCTCTTCATACAGGAAAACTATCAATATATTTTATTTAGAAATTCAATTATTTTTTAAGATGTCTTATGACAATACTTTTTGGGACTCTAACCTCTAAATTGGTGTCCTTATAGGTATAGCCTTAGTGAAGATTCATTGTCTGTGAGGTTTATATTTATGAAAATGTTGAACACTCATTTTTTTCTTACTGTACATTAGAAGCAAATCAACTAATGAGATAAATTTAAAGACGAAATTTTTAGCATTTCTCATAACATTCTTGCAACATGTCAAAATATTCTTTAATAGATTATGGAGCTTTCTTTCACTTTGGTAATGTTTCAGACTTTTAAGGACATATTACAAATGTACTGTTCTCTAACATATAATACTTAATTATTAACTACAGTCAAATGAGCAATATTAACATTAATGGGTGTCTTAGTTCATCCCTGCTGTTACGACAAAATATTACAGAGTGTGTAATTTATAAATAATATACATTTGTTTCTCACAGTTCTGGAAGCTGAGAAGTCCCAGATCAATGCACCAGCAGATTCAGTGTCTGCCAGGGGCCCAGCCTCTGCTTCTGAGATAGCACCTTGTCCTCACAGGGAGGAAGGGATGAATGCTGTGCCCTCACTTGGTGGAAGCGTAAAAGTGATAGAGTTCCATGAGGGTGGAATTCTCCGGGCCTACTCAACTCCCAACAGCCTCCACTTCTTAGTACTATCACCTTGGGGATTAAGTGTCAACATATGTCAAATAATAGCAAGGGCTCAAAAGTTAAAGTTCAGTACAGCAGTAGTTTTCTCTATTTTTTCATATGCGACAAAGAGGCCTATGAATGATACATTGGAATAAAAGACATACTAATTAAAATTTATTGTTCTGTCCATATTTTTGCTCAAGTAGCATTAAAACAATGCAAGAGAAAAGAAAAAATATAATGAAAAGAAAACGGAAAAACTAAAACCAGAAAAAGTAATACATATTAATTAATTAAGATATTAATGCATATTAAAACTGTAATAACCAATGAATGCCAGAACTTTTATAATCAGCAAAAACTATGGCACTAAAAACACATAGAGCTGTATATTTCTCTTTCAAATCTTCTTCATTACCCTGTTTTCCCCTAAGGCAAAGAATCATTAAATACAATGTTTGAGTAACTTGAATTTGTGAAAAAGATATATTTCTCTATGTGTGTATGCATATATATCTATGTGTGTGTTTGTGTGTATGTGTGTGTGTATGGCTAGGCAAAGAGCAGTGGTTCAGAAAGACCCCAGTAAACTCAGTTTAACACTTTTCTGTTTGGCTATTTGGCCAGTGCTCTTTGTAGCTGAAACAAATAGAGTTTATCACAGTTTACTGTTGTGATGTTATAACAAAATATTAATGGGTGAAACAGAATAGCTAGCTTTTAAGATGTCCTTACTTTTCTAATATGCCTGTGTCCTTTTAACAATGAGAATTTCTAACTTGTATAAGGTGAAATTACCTAGTTTATGAAAAACAAGGTGTCATAGAAAAGTATGTGTATGAGAAATCTGTGCACTTAACAACATTCAATCAGCAGGTCTTGACTGCACGCCTACAACGTGCACTCTTCAGCACTGGGTGCTGCAGTAGAGAAGGCAGAGAGAACTGCTGATTTCAGAACATTTGGCTGTAGGTGAATGTTACCATGTATCCCCATGCCCCGCATATTCCAATCACAAATACAGACTCTGTTTCTCACAGGCTACAGATCACCATTGGTTTCTGGCAGCTTATTAGAGTTCTTCTGCATTGTTAAACCTAATCGTTATTCTTTGGTTGATTACAGGTAAGACCAAAACAATGGATATGTTGCATCTGAAAACAAAAACAAACAAACCTGAAAGCTAAACATGGTAAAAACAATTTTTATTGAAGCTTTTCCAATGACTTTGTCTCATGGGAAAAACACAACAAATCTTTGGACTAGTTGTATTACCTCTGGAGTTGTGGCTCTCGGAGACAGTATTTGTTACCAGTCCACTGTCCACACACATTTCCCATGGCCATCACACTTTCCTACTTCCCAAGAGCAAATATGGATCAGAGAGGACCAATGGAAGAGCTTCTAAGATTTGACAGGCCGACACATAAAATGGCCAATATATGCTTGTTCAGCTATTTCTGTATGAGAAAATTGGCAAATATTTGACTAATTGGACAAAGGAGCACAAGAAATTTGGATCATCTCAAGTTCTAGGTATCATAATCTGAATGTTCTAGAATGATTGCCTACATTTGTTTAACTGAACAACATGGTTTCAACATATCCTTTCTTCTCGGTGCTAACATAAATCTTACCTTGAAAGTATTTGCAATTCTGTATTTAAATGCTGAAAAAAGCTCTTTGTGTAACATAAGGAATAAGTCTAAGACAATACAGTATTCTTAATTTTTCTATTAGTTTTTAATTTTATGTAAAAATATTTGCCAATCTTCTGCACTAAAACTTTGTATATATGAAAAATGTACCATGACATAGTATTGGTAATGAAAACACTTAAGCCATCACATCTCAACAGATATTTTCAGTGAAAATCTACTGCTGGATCAAGCACAGCAGCATTCCCAAATAAAGTCCTGTGTGTCAGTAAGTTTCATACATAAAGCTCCCCAAATGCTTTTTATTCCCCTTTTTGAGGGAAAAAAGAAGCACACATGGTACCAAAAAAAAAAAAAAGGGGGAATAAAAGCACACATGGTACAGACATGTCATAACTATATATTTTAGCTATAACTGATAGTGCTATGAGTCAATTATTACAGCTACATATTATTTGATATGTCTCCTGTCACTTTGCCATATATTTAATTGTTGCTTTAAATACAGCAACTCAGATGCTTTTCTCTATTTTGCAAAAAAGCGCCTAAAGCTAGATCATAGAAATGTAATTCAGAGAGAATTGTAGTGCTTCAAGCCAGGGTAAATAGGCATTGTTTAGTAAGTTAGCCCCAGCATTACACACAAAAATCATCAATAACTGATTATCTTAGGAATATACTGTATATATGAGACTCCAAAACCAGTACTGCAAATCTGTTAAATTGTAATCTTCTACTTTCCATACTGTATAGTGGCTTCAGGAAAATGCAGTCCACAGTCTTCTCTTTTATTTTCCTTTTAGATATTAGTAAGTGTGACAAGTACATTTATGTTTCATTTCATCTCCATGATGTGATCTTCAAAACCACAGATCCACCCAAGGGGAAATGACTATACTACTAATTCTAGCTGTTTTCATAGACATAATTCTGGAAATAGGAGCCACTGATGGGCAACTCAGAGTCTGTATTTAAGCCACAGGCATACTTTCTTTAACCATCACAGTATTTTAGAAACTGAGAAATTTCACAAAACGGTCCTAATTCTTGACTTCTATGAAAATTAGAAAAATGTATCAACACGATCCACATTTCCATATGGTGATAAGCAGCTGGATGCAATGCATATCTGCCACAACCTTTGCCATTTCTTTTGCATTAAATCCAGCACACTTTACTGATCCAAATTACCAGTAAATGTCTGAATCTGAGACTCCTGCAGTAGAGAATATTTTCTGGCTTGACCCATTTTTCCATGACTCTGTCCATACCACTATCAGAACTTGGTAAGTCAATGTTTC